GAAAAAAACAAAGTTCGAAGTCCTCGAAGGACGATTTTCCTACCTCTCGACGACTCTCTTTCAGACATGGTCTCCACTACAAATAAGGGTGCACCAGGTGTTAGGGTTCACTCTGAAAAAAACAAAGTTCAAAGTCCTCGAAGGACGATTTTCCTACCTCTCGAGGACTCTGTTTCAGACATCGTCTCCACTACAAATAAGGGTGCACCAGGTGTTAGGGTTCACTCTGACAAAAAAAACAAAGTTCGAAGTCCTCGAAGAACGATTTTCCTACCTCTCGAGGACTGTGTTTCAGGCATCGTCCCCACTAAAAATAAGGGTGCACCAGGTGTTAGGTTTCACTCTGGAAAAGAACAAAGTTCGAAGTCCTCGAAGGACGATTTTCCTACCTCTCGAGGACTCTGTTTCAGACGTCGTCCCCACTATAAATAAGCGTGCACCATGTGCTCGGGTTGACTCTGAAAAAAACAAAGTTCGAAGTCCTCGGAGGACGATTTTCCTACCTCTGTATGACTCTCTTTGGATCATGATATCGGCTATAAATACGGGCGGACGAGGTGCTAGTGTTCATTAGGAAATAGAAAGGAAAGTTCGAAGTCCTCGGAGGAGGATTTCCCTACCGCTCGATGACTCCTTTTGAGACATGGTGTCCCCTATAAATACGGGTGCACCGTGTGCTAGGGTTCATTCTGAAAAAAAAGAAAGTTCGATGTCCTCGGAGTACGGTTTTCCTTTATCTGGATGACTCTTTTTGAGGCATGGTCTCCCTTACATGGTGGATACGGTATGTTTCCGGTGTATTCCGTGATGGATACGGTGTGTTCCGTGATGGATACGTTGTGTTCCATGATGGATACGGTAGGGTTCCGGTGTATTCCGTGATGGATATGGTATGTTTCCGGTGTATTCCGTAATGGATATGGCGTGCCCAGTGTGTTCCGTGATGGATACGGTGTGTCCGGTGTGTTCCGTGGTGGATACGGTGTGTTTCGGGTGTATTCCGTGATGGATACGATGTGTTTCCGGTGTGTTCCGTGATGGCTATGGTGTGTTTCCGGTGTGTTCCGTGATGGATACGATGGATTATCCAACGTTTTCCGGTGAATGGAAAAGTTTTGTAATTGAGCGGTCCCTGGTACGATGACTTTCCGGCCGGAATACTGCCCCCCCCTTTCCAGTATTTTTCCGGTCGATTCCGGCAGGAGTTGCACGGGAACCGGCAGGAATTAGCCGGAAAATGGGCCGGTTCCTGCAGGTTCCGGTGGGATCTGTTGACTGGAATCATCGACCTGGGACGTGATATAAATAAATTTTAATATTGAAAAAACATAGATAACTTCTCTTTTACATAAAAAAACTATTATTTGGCTTTGTTAAAACATAACTGGATGGTAAGAATATCTTCAACCACGACTGTTGCATATTATATCATCTAAGAAAGTGTAAAAAATGTAATAAAAGTGTTTTTTAGATACAATTAACTAATAAAATGAAAAAAATACTAATGCAGTTTCATTCAAAGATAATAGCTCTACAGAGTAGAATGTATTAGAAGTCTTTAAAAAATTTTTGGAAGGCTATCATAGAAGTTACAGAGCACACAGCATGTTAGTTTTGAAAAATGATTTTCTTATGACATAATTTTAAGTAAAGTATAACGGTTGAATATGTGAAATTATAGAACAATCTGACCTCTACAAAATGAGACGTAACAGGCCTTTAGTAAATATTTAGTTCAATTACAAACAGCTTAATAGTGTTTACTCACTGTCGTAAGTATATATACGGAAAACGTGCCTGTTAAGTTTTACCATTTTTTCACACAAACTTCTTTTCATACGAAAACTTTGAACATTCCTTTATCAATTGATAAAGAACCTTAAAGTTTAGGTAAGCAATGGTAAAAATAATTACGTTTTTGTTTTGGACCGGTCTTTTGGAACACCCTGTATATCGATTTACAGTAGTATATTTCGTGCAATTTTCTCTACTTTTCTAAAAAAAAACAGTTTCACATCAGTGTGTAACTTTAAGCTCCTAACTGTTTTATTTTCAGTTACTACTACAACTACTACGACAGCCACTACCTCGACCGCTACCTCAACTTCAACTACAACGTCCTTGGGACTCTGTGATTCAACTTGCATTACAACTTCAATCTCTAACACATCACGTATTGCTTTCTACACATTTGATTCGGTTCTTACTGATTCGAGTGGTTCTTCTAATACTCTAAGTGGTACCTATCAATCATTTGTTACTGGTTATGTAAACAATGCCGCTAGTTTCGTTTACGCCGATTCACAACGTCTATATTCCAGTCAAATAATGAATTTTTATCAACAATCATGGACAATAGAATTTTGGTTTCTGATGACAGCAAGTACAACATCTGATTCGTGCTTCTTTGGACAATCAGTTTCGATTAGTAATGGTATGGAATTATTTTTACAAACAAAAAATAATGTATTATACTTCGGTTTCTTTGGTGATGACACGAGTGGTACGACGACTATTGCAACAAATACATGGTATCATGTTGCATGGGTAGTTGATTATACGAATCGAATTAGACAAATTTATATGAATGGGTGAGCGTTGTTTTTCATTGTACTCTAATGGTTACTGACAGATAAACGCATTATAGCAATAACGAATGACAAAACATGACTTGTTTTGATCCTTTCCCCATATATGTGTTACCTATTCAGAATCTATACGGAAAACTAGAATTATAAAAATGGTTTTAGAGGTTAGGACGTAAAAGACTAAGGCATTAATATTTGAAATCGACGACCATTGAATCAACCTAGAAAAAAGTTTCCACTAGATCGTTTTGCTTCTAACTTCGTTGTGTCAGGCCCGTTGTTTTTTGAGAGAAATTTCAAGTGATATGCAAAAAAATCATTATAGAAATTTTTGGTTATAAATTCATTATTTATTCATGTTGTTCTACCAAAAGAAATTTTGTAATTTCGTTTTTTCAATACCTTTAGAAAAGTTTTTCTATTCTGATGATCAATATGCAAGACTTCTAGATAAGAATTATTAAAAGTCAAGATTCAGCCAGTGAAAAGATGTGTATATCATCTATTTCTTCACCAAACTAGACCTTATCTACTGCAGAAAGTTTCCAGTGTACTTGTAAAATAGTTCAAATTATTTTCAAACTAATTCAAAAAACTAGTCATAAAATGTTTCTCTGAATTTATTTGCAATTGAAGTGATTCTGTATCCACTAGAGCCCATTGGATCCAAGAATTTCTGGATTCGGCTTCGGCCAACACAGAATTTTCAGATCCGAACATGACAGGTTTTTATATCTACCCATCGGTTTTTTAGATGGTTTAGTCAGAGATCTTCGAGGTGTGTGCAACTTTAAAATATAAAAATATTCCTTTGCTTTTGAATAACATTCTAAACATTTTTCAGAGATATTTTTAGATTTTTGAAAAAAAAACTGAGGAAGAAATCTGACTGTTATGCTAAAAAACATTCTTATAACAATATTTTCGTTAAGAAAGAAATATTGATTCGAGTGTAGTAGATAAGATAACTTGGCTTATAATCATCTAGGTCTTGGATCACGAAAGCCCTGTATTTGTTCTCATGTTGAATCGCACCGAAAAATTTTAATCGATGCAAAAAATATGTGTTTTATATTCTTTATAGCGTTTCAAAATTGTTAAGCGATTGCTTTACAGAATCTCGAAGAGAATTCATGTTACTACATGATCCTCCATCTTCGCGCATATCTAAAACAAGGGTTTATAAGGCTATTTTGAGACAGAAAAATAGTTTTTTTTCTTCATGTTTCTTAAAGTAAAATCCAATCTAAAGGTTTTTGGTCGACACAAGAAAATTGAATTTTCTACAAAAAAAGTCTTCTAATATAACCAACGAAAATATAGGACCATTTTTGATTTTAAAGTATTTTCACAAATTAGATCGTCTGATGTTTTCATATTAAATTGATCATTCCCCTAGTCACTTCCAGATGAGAATTTTCTGAAGAATGAACTGTTAGTTGAGAAGATTGTTTCTCAGGTTTTAATCTTGAAAAAAGAGATCACGGAAGTTTGAATCGTTGAAATTAAAGGTACAATATTCATTTTTCTACAAAAAAATCTTCTTTTCCTAAGTAATGAAATCACTTTTTTTCATAGTCGAATATTCAAAGTTTAATCTATAAGAAGTGTTTTTCTCTATATTCTTCTTAAACAGACAGACTTGTTCGGTTAGAGTTAAGAGATTATTTTGTAGAAAATTGAATTTGTTTGCTTTTATCTAACGTACTCAAACTTGTACGAAGTACTAGTCACAGTTAAAGAGTGCAAACTTGACCAACCAGTTAGGTCAAAGTATATAAAATATCTTACATTAACTCTAGGATCAAGTTGTTCGTTCATTGAATAGATAGACTTTACAATGGAAGGGTTTGTACTAATAAACATAATGATTGACCATGTTCAGGTGAAATCATCAGTCTCATCGGGAAACTAACAAATTTAAAATATGACATGCATATAGCAAGCCTAGACCAAGATTTTGGATTTTTCGGTGAATTTTCTCTGTAGAAGCCTACTTTCTCAGCAAAATCATATTTTCGAATTTCGATCTGAAACTTTGTGTACATGAAAGCCTCAGTAAGACTAGCTTACACAAAACAAATCAGAAGTTCTAGACAAACTCTCCTCGAGATATGAATCTTTCGGAATATACAACTTCTATAGAACAGCATCAATATTTCGAGAGATTCATATCTCGTAAAGAGTTTGTCCAAAACTTCAGAGTTTTTTTTGTAAGCTAGTCTCACTGAAGCCTTCATGTACACAAAGTTTCAGGTCGAAATTCGAAAATATGATTTTGCTGAGAAAGTAGGCTTCTACAGAGAAAATTCACCAAAAAATCCAAAATCTTGGTCTAGGCTTGCTATAAGCATGTCATATTTTAAATTTGTTAGTTTCTCGATGAGAGTGATCATTTCATCTGAACATGATCAACCGTTTTGTTTATCAGTACAAACCCTTCCATTATTAGTGTAATTTTACTTGATTTTTATATCTTCTCTGCTTAGATATATGCATGCTAATACAACAAATACTGGTTATCTAAATGTAGCTAATCGCACTGTTAACGTTGGTAGTTGTACTATTGGTGGTAATGCCGCACCAGAAGTTTACTATAGTGGTTATCTCGATCATCTGAGTGTAACAATGCGTGTTAAAACCGCATGTGAAATTTTACAAGATGCTACTCTCGTTGTCTACTATCCATTCGAGAATTCAATTATAGATCAAGGACCAAATTTCATAATGGGAACTCTATCGAATTCTGGTACTACTTATGTTAGTGGATACGTTGGTAGTTATGCACTACAATTAAGCACAACAGGTGCCTATTTTCAAGTGCCAAGTCTAACTGGATTGGGCACTAGCAATCAAGGTTTTTCAATTGCACTCTGGGTGAAACCGAGTGCAATTAGTGGACCGTTGGTTCACGTTTCCTCAACAACGACTGGTGAGTGTGTTATTAAACGTTTTTCCATGACTATCACATATTGAACTCTATATATTTTCTATTTTTTACAGGTTATGGAAGTTGGTGTGTACCCTTTCTCGGTTTTTCATCAAGTGGTCAAATTGTTGCTAATATTAGGACTTCATCAGGTACAATTGTTTCTGCTACTGGTCCTGTTCTACAAACAACTCCATTTTGGACACATATTGTTCAGACATGGTCTACGATAAATGGCTTACGTCTTTACGTAAATGGTTATTCGTATGTTAATATTACAAGTGCTACGTCTTATGCAGCTTCTGGAGTACAGAATTATTTGACATTAGGAACAGCTTTGAATGGTGCAGCGTGTGCAGCTGGGTCAATTCAGAGCTCTGGTCAATACTTAGGAGCTATAGATGATTTTCGTTTGTATAGTAGAGAGTTGAGTGCCAGTGAAGTTTGTCAGTTAGTAAGTGTATAAAATGTCACGCGTCTTTCTTGAAAAACTCATTCTTCGATAACAGATATCAGAACTAAATTTACGGGCACAGCTCCTCTTGTTCACTTATATTCCTCAATTATACAATAAAATATAAATAGCAAATTTTCGTTAATTTATTTATTGTCATAATTAACAAAGACAGTAAAGTAATAGTCCTACTTTAGCTACCAGTTCTCTAGATCGAGTTCGAATATAAATGAACCTTCAATTGCATGATATCAACTCGAAAATAATTGAAAAAAATTAAGCCGGTACGTCACTATGGCAAAGGCAAAAGATAAAAACTTTATCTCACTTCTAAATTATAAGTCAATTAAGACTTCCATATAACTGCGGCAAAAAAGTAAAAGATAAAATTTGATCTCAATTATAAGCCAAATAAGACGATCCCATCACTATCATCATGGTATAGTGAGAACAAAAAGGATTGCAAAGAGCATAGGGGCCCGAGTGAGGGTGAGGGTGGGTGTGTGTTGTGGGTATAAGTGTGAGTCTGGGTGTGAGTGTGGGTATGAGTGTGAAAGTGCATTATGCATCTATTATTACATCCACACCCACACATCTATACCCACACTCAAATCCACACCCACCAATTTTTGATAGTTTTCACCGGTCTGAAAGATGTCTTGAGCTGGTTGATCAAAGATCGAACCGAATCACTCTAAGTGTGCGAAACATCGTTTTTAATAACCAAGTCCTACGTATAGGTTTAAATTAGAAAAAAATACTTAACAACAAGATACAAAACATTCGAAACTAGATCTTTTGATTATGTAATATTGTGATTTTTCAATCATACAAGTAAGGTTCATCGACATTGAAAGTCGATTCACCGGGCCCTAGACTGACGGAATGATGTCACAGATGTCCTTATGTTGTTTAATAAAAATGAATTCTGTTCAATGATGAGTTTGGGACAGATCATTGATATTTGCAAAATGTTGTGTATTACATACTAAAGATATATTCAAACAGTTGACATAAAATATTCCAAGATGCCAATGTATATGATAAAGCGTATGAGTTAGTTGATTCTAAGGACTAGCAATGGTTATTTATCCCATAGCACTGATCATTTCTAATACTGATCTAGCTAGGAGTGACACAGACACGCTCCTTCCGCAGATAAGAATGATCAACTGTGCCATACAAATGGTTGATTGCATCGTAGAAACTGAGTTAAGCCACAAGAATGGTCAATTATGCCAAAATAAATGGTCAGTTTTACCACCACTCACGATACTTTGCACTATAGCAACAGTCACTTGTACCACGATTATGGTACTTTGAACTATCACAACGATCACTTGCACCATAAAAATGGTCATTTGTAGCACGACCCATGCTGCTTTGTACCATGACAACGGTCAATTCTACCATGAAAATGATACTTTGCACCATCACAATCGTCACTTGTACCACGAATATGGCCATTTGTGCCATAAAAATGGTGATTTGCGCCATAATAAAGATGATTTGCGCCATGGAAATGGTCATTTGTGCCATGGGAATGGTCACTTGCGGCATAAAAATGGTCATTTGTGCCATAATAATGGTCATTTGTGCCATAGAAATGGTCATTTATGCCATGGAAATGGTCATTTGTGCCATAATAATGGTCGTTTGCGCCATAAAAATGGTCATTTGTGCAATAAAAATGGTCATTTGTGCCATGGAAATGGTCATTTGTGCCATAAAAATGGTCATTTGTACCATGGAAACGGTCATTTGTGCCATAAAAATTGTCATTTATGCCACAGAAATGGTCATTTGTGCCATAGAAATGGTCATTTGTGTCATAAAAATGATCATTTGTGCCAAGTTCTTGTTACAGACAAACAGACGGACATACAGACACAGGTGAATTACGGTTTCTAGACCCTAGCCTTTCAGTCTAGGGAATAGATTTATTTTATTTAAAATTGATAAAACGATTTAAAAAAAGAGCTATCTTCTCACCAGTAAAAGTCTAGAGTCATGTAGATCAAAGCTTCGCTCTAACCCCAGTTTTACCACATATAAAAGCTTTGTGAATTCGTGGGTGTTTACCAGTCGGAAACTTTTTTTAGATCGGTCGGATTGGTTCAATTTTTTGAGACCGATTCCAACTCTGCCGCATACATCTAACGATACGATTATCTTTACCAGGAATTGTGTCTTTTCATGAACAGCATCTTTCTTGTCTACTTCTCCTCTGTTCGGCTCACAATTAATCGTTCTCAATATTGTAATTAGTTGATGGATACAACTGAGAGAAGCTATCTATTTGGACTATTTAACAACAAAGGCAACAATGAACGACGGAATAAAATTCTTCGTCAAAAATATTGAGAAATAACAATTTAAATTATGCACTTCATTTGGTTCTATAATTACATTTGATCAAAAAAAAAAATGGAGAAAGCTATATTCGTTAAATAAAATGTATTATTTTGTGCAAAGCTTCAAGTGCTATCTTTTGATTAAAAAAATGTCTTACTGAAGAGAATAATAAAGAAAAAAAAAACTCAAAAATACTAAGAGGGCAATTTATTCTGCATCACCAGATATATCCGAATATTATCTGCGCATCATCATTTTTGTGAAAAAATTAATTTTATAGCTTATTAAAATAGCACAACACATTAAGATGCCTTACTCGGATATAATTCATGCTGACTATTTATTCATTCAAAATATTAAAATAATATTTAATTGACGTACATAAAAGAATTAAACACTTATGATGAATAATGCTCTTATAATTGTATGTAATCAATACTTGTGATATTATTCTTTTTCTTCTACAAGAATAATATAAGCGAAACCCATCCATAGATAAAAATATGCGAATAGAGTTCCTTACATCATTTTTTAACATAGATGCAACAGTAAGAACTTCGTTCATGAATAAAATCAATTTATGTAAAGCATGTATGTTATACTAGCTGAAGATTATTAGTAGCGAGACCCAATGATGTTATGAGAGAAAAACGAAACAGAATATAAAAGAGTTTGTTGAGTTTTTATTATCTAAGTTTTTACTCTTTCCTTAGTTCTACGTAGGATTTTGTATGAGCTTGTCTATGATATTTCAAACATATATTTTTTTGACTGAAATAAACGTTACATGAATCTGTTCTTTTTTGAAGATTTTTATGTAGTAATGACAATGACTTTGGCTTCGATATATTCTATACTAGTTATACTTTTCGATACTCAATCATGAAGGATTAAGATTTAATGTTGAACGTGAACTATATGAAGATGGAAGTGATAGTTTGCATGATAAACAACAAGAAATTAGTAAACGATCATTTAAGTACAATATGAATAAATTCAACTTTGGTTATGCTAAAGACAACTGGAATGTTTATTTTATAGGTGAAAAAAATGCAAGGTGTATCACCTAATTCATTTTCTACAAATCATGTGGAATGGTAATCAAATTATAAATAAAATCGACTTCTATGAACATATTTGCAATAAATAAATTTTTATCAGTACATCGTTTTTCATAATTAAAAAAAAAGATTTATAATAAGTTGCGACTCTCGATAGAATCATTGAAAACAAAGAAAACAGCTGATATTTAACTAAATGCATATATATGGATGCAAATTAATTTTCGTTTGATTTCTTCCAAGTTCTTCATTAGTTTAATTATGACGTGGGGACGCAGAAGAAGTGAAAGAAGATAAAGCCAATAACGATAATAAGTACGGAGTATGAAATGAGTTACAATGTTTGGATGTCAAGTATGATTTTACTTCCACAATTTTCTGACTACCAGTTCTAATCATAATGATAAACTATCCTATGTTTCATCTTCAATTCTTATCAATTGTAAAGAAGTGAAAAAAACAACTATGCAATGATGATTCAACATTTTTCACCGCTCATCTTCTTCTCCAAGATTAGAAAACAGTACTTTTCTTTTCGAATCTTATGTAAAGGAATGAAACTATATTACACTGTTAAAATTTTGATCTTGTAATTGATACATCATGTTGCATTCATATGCCTTTTTTAACGTTCTCGGCCTTCTTGAAGATGATCAAGATGCTGTTGATCGAAATAAACAAGAAATATACAAAGATTTTCAGCAACGACCTAATTCTATCGTTGCATTTGTTTGTACCGATGCATGTGGTGATTGTATGAGTAATGGAGATCCTGACTTAAAGAAAAGAGAATTATGAAGGTGAAACATAACAAAATTGAAATGTCTATTCAAGATTCGAAAAGTGAAAGTTTGCTTTTTGGATCGTATTAAAACCGAAGATGGTGAGGAACATGACAAATTATGTATAAAAATGATAGAATCAATTATAGGTCAATGTGACACAAAGTTTCATAAAAAAGATCATGATATTCAATTGAATATCGAGGGTGTGGGCGGATCTGTCATCCATCTGCATCCACACCCACACCTACGACTACCAACGCCCACAACCACGATTCACCTGAATAATGTCGAAAGTAAATATATCGAAGGCAAAAATATTGAAAATTAGAGATCGAAAGCAGGAATGTCGAAAAAAATGTTTCACTCTTTCAAATTAGGGAAGTTGAACAAGGAAGGGTGTGGGTATGGGTGCTGGTATGCGTGGGGATCTGGATGTCGGCGTCGATGTGTGGGTGTTGGTATGGTTATTACTCTTCTTACCATCCATACTCACACCCTTCATCACTGTAAAATTTTTATCTTTGTTGAAAACTATTTTTTATGATTGTTATATTTCTAATACTGAATAAAAAATCTTCGTCATAACACTACGAATATCTCTTCCTTTACTATTCTCATACGGTTCTTCTGAAAAATGTCGAAAATAAAATGTCGCGAAGAGTGGGGCAGAGATGAGGGATAGACGAGGAAGTAGGAGAGGTGTGCATGCTATGTGAGCCCTGAGCGTCCGGTTGTGTGTAAAGAAGTCATCCAGAATCATACTCACACGCAACCACATCAATATCAGACCACTCTTGCATACACCCATCTC